GTGTGTGTGTGTGTGTGTGTGTGTGTGTGTGTGTGTGTGTGTCTTTTGTCTCAGAAACACCAGATGAGGTAGGTTCTACTTTATCCTGTAAATCAGTGCCTGGTCGGTCAAGGGAAACAGATCATCTACGGATGTAAAAATTCTGGCTGCTCTTCCTTGGCCAGTTCAGACATCAGCTGCTCCACACAGTGCGCCCCCTCTCCTCTGCAAGTGCAGGTCTTATTGCCTCCATAATCCCCATTCACCTGCAGCTAGATCAGCAGGCACTGGTCCTTTCCCCAATTCCTGGGCCCAATCACACAGTGAAATGACTCACAAACTACAGAAAAAGAACTGGCTTTAATGTAAGAAGAAAAGGCTGAAAACACATAGGATGAGGTCAGAAAGGGTCTTGGTACAGAGCTTCCCTGCCTCCAAGGGAGGCACCCACCCTCCAGGGAGGTATCTGCTTTTACTTCTCAGTGAGCTCTTCTGAATCATAGGATTCAGGGCCTGGGCCTCTCCACGTGACCATTACAGATTACATCATCTCTCCTAAGGCTGAGTCAGCATCCGGTCCCAGGTGATCCCTCTTAGTTGGGTCCACCATTCATCGACCTTATGTGTGGTCAGACTCTCAGGAACCAGGATTATAAACCAGCTTCTCTTTTTTTTAAACCAGCTTCTTTACTACAAGAGGTTCCACATCTCATAGCTCCCTTTTCAGACACAGAAGCTAAGATTTAGTAAAGTTTAACAATTTGCCTAAATTCATAAGTGAGCAGAGCTGGAATGTAAATCAAAGATGTCTTCCTCCACAGCCTGTTCTTTACCATGACAGTATATCATCTTACGGTTTTCTGTTAATCAGGGAAAAATCATGAAATCAGCAAATAAAGTCAAATCAAACTCACTGCTATAGAATCTATTCTGACCCATAGTGACCCTCTAGGACTGGGTAGAACTGCCCTTCTGGGTTTCCACAACTGTAACTGTTTGCGAGAGTAGAGTGTTCTCATTGTTGCCTGTGCTGTCTTCGTCTCTGCAGACTAATTGCATGTACATAAGGAGATGAACAAGAGAGAGCTTATTCTGGAGCATCTTTCTTTTTCCATCCTCCTGCCTGCTCATAGCTGTTTCTAAAAGCCCGGACTGAAGATTTCCCACAGCAGGAATTCCATTGAATCTACCTCTATATGTCTGTCTTGGCAAAGTTCTACAAATTTTTGTGGTATGAATGAATGTGTTAAATAGGATGAAATTGTAAGGCGTTACAAGATTTAGAGAAAGGTAATTTCTTTGGGAAATGCCAGCAGGCACAAAAACAGATGCTTCAAAGCTAAATTGAATAGGAAGGTGAAAGGAAACCCGTTGCTCTAGCCCAGGTGTAGCCCCTTCCTCTGTGTAGCTTGCCTAGAAGATTTCTACAAATACTTCCAGCAGATTTGGATATTGCTTTTATAGTGTTTCTTTTTTCTTTCCTAAAATCTAATCAAGGTCTGAATGCACTGCTATTGAGCAAGTAAACTCAAAAGATCCCAAGGTATAAAATCACACATTGTACTAAAGGTGTGGAAAGATTGACTAGCTCTGCTTCATTTAGTAAAGTGACTCCCCAAGTTCCAACTCTAAAGGACAAGAATGACTATATCCCGTAAAGAGCTCATAAGGACAGACTTGGGGTTTCCTCCAGACTCTAAGAGACCAGTAAGTCAGGTCTTTTTTTTTTTTTTTATAATTTTGAACTTTTGATAGGACTTGAGCATAAAACAAATGGGTGCCAATTTTGATGAATCATAGTCAGGAATAATGAAATTTCTTGGAATCTAGACTCCTAAAGGCAAGTTAACAACAAAAAGAAAAGTGAATCCCAACCTACAGAAACCTCACAGGGTATAGCAGAACTGCACCATGGAGTTTTTCCAAGGCTGTGATCCCTATATCTGTTACACCTGTCTCCTGCAAACCAGTTTGTGGATGTGAACTGGCACCCTTTCATCAATTAGCAGCCAAACTCTTAACCACTGAGCCACCTGGGCTCCAAATGGAAGGTTAAGGCCCCACAAACAGAAGGGGACAACCACAGGGACCCTTACCATCTCCAACCAAGGAAAACATAGGCAAGATTGAAGTCAGAGGCAATCTCCACATCCGGGGGTCAAAACCATTCCATGAGAGGCAAATGGGCCAGGTGGCCTGGTACACACTCTCCACTCCAGTGGACAGTGTTTCAAGAGTAATGGGAAAGAATCAGACACAGACTTCAATACGGAGGGCTTTGCATGGCGGTCATTTAGATTCCAGGTGGGAGATCCA